CCTGTGGAGGCCAGAAGGAGGGCACTGGATCCTCTGGAACTAAGGATTGTTGTAGGCCACTATTTAGGTGTTGGGAACTGAACCCTGATCCTTTAGAGCTGTGGCTCCAGCCTTGGTCGGTTTTCTTGCCAAAGTCATAAACTAGTTAGTGTGGCGCCTCAGTGGGAGGGTGAGCAACACCAGAGCTGTCTCCTCTCTTCCTCCCCCAGTTCCCTGTCCTCTTCCTGCTTAGTGCTCAGATCTCAGATCAGTGTTTTTCCCCATTCATCTGCCACTCTTTGAGGCTGGTTATTGTTACATCTCACTTGAATTCTTGCTTCTAGTCTTATCTTTTCCTCCTATAATCAGAATGACTAAAGTCACTCTCTTGCCTACACTCACTTAGAGCTTTGCTGTTATCTCTACAATAAAGCCCCAAAAATATTTTCTGTGACCTGGAAGGCCTTTGTGGTTGGAAATACATTGGGCATACAGATGGACTAAGAGACAGTCTGTCAGCTTTTGAAATACACTAATATGGTTTACCTACTTATTTATGACTCTTAATTTTTCCTACTTCTCTGTTTGTTTGTTTGTTTATGCCTTTCAAGACATGGTTTCTCTGGGTAGCCCTGGCTGTCCTGAAACTCGTTCTGTAGACTACACTAGCCATGAACTCAGAGAACTGCCTGGTTCTGCCTCCCAAGTGCTGGGATTAAAAGGTAGGTGTGTGCCTTCATGCCCAGCTTGCTTTGTACTTTTGAGTATAGAAATCTTCAACATCTTTTATTATATTCATTCCTATTATTTTTCAAAGATCAGTAATGTTTTCCAGCATGTGCTCTGTGAGTTCTCTTGGGCTTTAAACCTAAGCCTCACCCTTTACATTGAAGAACGGTTTGATTTCTTTTCCTCTTACCTTCTCTGTCACTTCTTCCCTTTCCTTGTCCCTTTCTACTTCTCTTCCATGGTTAGGTCTCCCAGTGCAGTGTGAGTAGAAGTGGTAACTGGTCACTCAGAGGAAATGAGTCATTCTTCTGCATTAAATGTAAACATTAGCCATAGATGTTCATAGATGCCCTTTGTCCATTTGGGGAATTTGCCAAATATTATCAGTTTGTTAGGAGGATTTCTTTTTCCCCCTGCATCTGTTGAATCTTTTAGATTTTCTCTTATCAACTCTTAATACCTTGAATTTATGTCTGTCTGCCTGTCTATCATCTGTTTGTTCTGTCTTGCACTCCTAGGGTATGTTTTGCTTGGTAACAATGTGTTATCTGTATTTGTTATTGGATTATCTTTGATAATTCTTTGTGAATGATTTTTGCACCAGCATTTAGAATTTGTATTGATTTATAATTTTATTACAGTAACTTCATCAGATTTTGGTATAAGAGTTAGGCTATCCTTTTAAAATATGTTAAGGAGTACTCCCTCCTTTTTCTTATTTATTCATTCATTCATTCACTTATTAGTTTATTTATTTGTAAATAGGATTTTGCTATGAAACCCAGGCTGGCCTCAAATTCACAACCTCCATGCTTCAGTCTCCCCTCCTCAGTGCTGTTATTACAAGCATGTACCTTGGTGTTTAGCCTCCTGGGGTTGTTGTTGTTTTGCAAATATTTGTTTTCTTTCTTTTTTTGTTTATTTTTTCAAGACAGGGTCTCTCTGGCTGTCCTAGAACTCACTCTGTAGACCAAGATGGCCTAAACTCGAAGATCTACCTGCCTCTGCCTCTGCCTCCTGAGTGCAGGGATTAAAGGTGTTCACCACCACATCTGGCACATAACTTCTTAGAACTTTATTTTTTCCTAGGTTGATAGAATTTACAACTGAAGCAATCTGAGCTTATATTGAAAACCGTTTTTAAAAAATCAGTTTGTTAAAGAAATCTTGTATATGAGCAACTGAGACCTGGTAGTTTTAAAACAAGCCATTTTAAAAAAGTGTTGAAGAGTTAGAACTTACAAAGATTGTCCAGCAAGTTGAGGTGTCTGATGCCAACCAGGTTTTCACTGCTGGCTGACTACTAGCTAGCTATTTCTGGTTTTTGAAAAGTAAAATAATGCTTTTAGACCTGAATATTATTTTCTGTAAAATATTTCTTTCAAACTATTGAAAAAGGTTATTCCTGTGGTCCATCTTTACTCTTTAGTTCACAGTTGGTAAGTATAGTTATATTGCTATTTAAAGACATGTAACTGGAGCCGTGGAGATGGCTCAATTGGTGAAATGCCTGCTGAGCAAGCATAAGGTCCTCAGTTTGTGTCCTTAGTACCCACCTATGATGTCGCACACTGTAATCCCAGTGCTGGGGAGACAGGATAGGGGTACAGAGACAGGAGTGTGCCTGGAGTTCATTGGCTAGGCAGCCTAACCAAATCAGTGAGCTGGTTTGGTGAGAATCTTTGTCTCAAAAATGTGGCAGGGTGTGGAGAGATGGCTCAGTAGTTAACTGGCTATTCTTTCAGTGGACTTAGGTTCCTTTGTGGTACACAGATAGACATGCAAACAAGATGAAAACACACATAAAATAAATAAGGTAGAGAACTGACTGAGGAAGAAGCTCAGTGTCAACTTTTGTCACCCATACTCATGCACTATACCCACATGTACATGTCCACATGAACACATACACCATACACATACATGCACATACAAAAATGAAGATGAGGTCATTCTGTATATATCTGCTACCATGAAGGCAGAAGAGTGGAGGGCGAACCTCAGGAAGAGGCAGAGCTGAATGCAGAGGCCGAGGGGAAGCAGGAAGAGCCGG